ACTAGTTAGTCTTAACTTGACAGGGCCGTGCTATGTGCACTAGTTAGTCTTAATTTGAAAGGGATGTCAAGTTATTATTATTCTATAATTTTGCCTCATTTACGTGTAAAGCTATACAAGGATGACCATTGTGTACTACCCTTTGTATAATTTTGATTGAGCCTCTTCTTCAGAAAATCTGAATATATATAAACATTTAAGGTTCATTGTTCCTTGGAGCATGCCCCGATGACATTGTGTTCCTCATTACAGCTGAGAAGAAGTTTGCTAAACTTTCTCGTTGGTTAAACATGCATGAACGAACGTATAATAAAAGAGTGAGCTATGTAATGTGTTGGATTAGATAATCAGAAGGACAGTGGGCAGATGGCACAATAATAAATAAATAATTAATGTTTGTAAATAACGAAAAGTATATGAAGAAAACAAAGAATGTTAAACTGATGAGTTCGCTTTGCCGCAAAAAATGTTGTCGGAGTAATTTCTAAATCATTTATCTGTGAAACATTGTAATTGAAAGATGCAATATTTGTTAATCGCTTTATTCATTTCGTTTCATACAAGTTCAATAATACTGTATTCTGACTTATACATTGTTGCAAAATACGGATTCTAAAGGGAGACGACGACATGGTTGCGAACGTTGTAGAAACCATCGCTGTGTGTTCTTTTGTTTCAATTTTTATATTCATCCAATTAGATGCTTTCCCACTAATTTTCTTACACGGCCAAACATTTATCGATGTATATCAAGGGCATACTGCCAGTTCTGTATCATTCTTACAATTATTATTGTACTCATCCATCTGATAGTGTCACTAAGGCTCAAACACTGGTGTCCCCAGGGCGTCACTGTGTTTTATAGCATGTGGGTAAATTGTGCATCTTCCTACAAGTATAACTAATATGTGCATTGCATATATCAAAAGTTGTCTGTACAGAAATACTGCGAGTTAGAATTTCACCCACTATTGTTCAACAAAGCGGTAGTCCCTTTAATATGTACATCAATCAATATATCATCATCGCTAGCTTTTGACCACCGCTGTCATCATCGTCCGTCAACAATTACAGTCATCTTTTTCTTGAAATCTGTCAGCTCTGACTTTTAATTCTTGATATTTTTAGATAATTTAGATGGATTGTCAGATTTGTTCATTTCGTAAAAATATCTTCAGTTTTCCATTTTTAGCAAATATTTTTGTCATTGATTTTTGAATTAGCAGTTAAATTGCTTTGATAATTGGTATGTACGCGTACTTACCATGGATGGGCCTCTATACGGTTCGTAAGAAGATAACAATTGTAATTGTTGTTGTATGGCAAGATCATTGTGGCAACTATAAGTGAGCCACCTCTTTCACACACAAAGTTTATCACAACACATGCCTTCACATTGCACTTGCCATATATCAGTTACATATCATGTCAAACATAATATGTGTTATTTCTGCTAACAATGAAATAAGTATTCATGATTATTAGTCATGATTTATTTGTTTATGATTCATTCCCAGGCTGACCAGTGTATGGGTTTACAAGGTTTCCTGATCTTTCATAGTTTTGGTGGCGGTACGGGGTCTGGATTTGCTTCATTATTGATGGAACGGCTGTCAGTTGATTACGGAAAAAAATCAAAATTAGAATTCGCCATCTATCCGGCGCCGGAAGTTGCTACAGCTGTAGTGGAGCCATACAATGCGGTGCTGACAACACATGCAACACTAGAACACAGTGATTGTGCTTTTCTTGTTGACAATGAAGCGATATTCAATATATGCCGTAGGAGCTTGGACATTGAACGACCAACCTATATCAACCTAAATCGCCTTGTTGCCCAAGTAGTATCATCTACCACTGCATCATTAAGGTTCGATGGCGCCCTCAACATAGATTTGATTGAGTTTCAGACAAATCTGGTTCCATATCCCAGAATTCATTTTCCCATGATGACATACGCGCCTGTAATATCAGCAGAAAGGGCTTATCATGAGCAGTTGTCCGTGGCTGAGATCACCAATGCCTGCTTTGAACCAGCCAATCAGATGGTGAAATGCGATCCTCGTCACGGCAAGTACATGGCATGCTGTATGTTATACCGTGGTGATGTTGTACCAAAAGACGTCAATGCTGCCATCTCTACGATTAAGACAAAACGTACTATACAGTTCGTTGATTGGTGTCCAACTGGTTTCAAAGTTGGCATCAACTACCAGCCACCGGCCACTGTCCCAGGTGGAGATATGGCTAAAGTACCGCGGGCTGTTTGTATGATGAGTAATACAACAGCTATTGCCGAGGCCTGGGCTCGACTAGATCATAAATTCGATTTAATGTATGCTAAGCGTGCTTTTGTCCACTGGTATGTCGGTGAGGGAATGGAAGAAGGGGAATTCTCAGAGGCCCGTGAAGATCTAGCGGCATTGGAGAAAGATTATGACGAGGTTGGAGTTGACTCTGTCGACGATGAACAAGAAGAAAATGATTTAGAATATTAATATTATTCGGATAAATTTATTAGAATAAGAAATTACATTAGTTCAATATAGTGCAGTAAGGTATAACGTGAATTACTGTTAATAGAGGGACGGTAAGGCGGATAGCTGGTACAAGTTACAGGAAATAAAAGCGGCATTTTACGTGTTTACAAGCAAATAAAATGAAAGTTTCGTTTACAGTCAAAAATAGGTTTTTACACTTTACAGATAAAGCAAATTTCTAATTACATTTTTACAATATTTTTGATAATTTTGTGTTTAAGAATCTAAATTGGAAATTGCGTACCAATTACATTTAATTTAGAAAATGCTATATACGCTTACAAAAAATAATATCTGTACAAATTACGGCCGAATAAAATATTACATTTTACACCATGTCCATGTTTACGAATTTACGTTGTTTTATTTATTTAAATTACATAAATAAAACAATTGATCACAGCTTACGAAAATACCCCTTGCCGATCCTCTTAATAATGTGTATATGTAGTGTAACGTGAATTACTGTGGGTTACGTATTCATGTACTTTAGACTAATTAGTATCTGTCTTTGTAAGCAGTAATCTACAATCTTCCTGCATGAACATCGTAATGTTCACGAGACTTGGCTCAGGAAAGAGAGTAGTTTGCTTTTGGGCATAGGAGTTTTTAGAAGGGGTGTATGGCTTTGTTTTGTAGATCATTGTTGGAACCTGGATTTTACACATTTACTGATACCTGTATTTTGTCTAGAGATGTATAGCAGATACATATTTACTGCATATTGTCAATATAGATAAAGATAATAATTATGCACATATTATGGACACATCATGTACTTCAAACATGGCTGATCACGTGAGCTAGTTAA